CCGCTCCTGCGGCGCGGCTCCAGCCGGAGGCTCGACCCTGGAGACACGCAGGGCTTGGCTCCGCCCACTCCCTGGCTCCTCCCCTTTCTCGGCTCCAATGACCCGCTGCCTGCAGCTCTGGCTCCGCCCAGTTCCCCTGGACCAGGCCTCTCCTGCGTCGGGTTCTGCGGCCGCCAGCCGCCGGGATTCTCTGCCTGGAGACGCCGGCCGCAGACTCGCTTCAGGCGCGCGGTGAGCTGGAGCCGCCGCAGAGCCAGCCAGCCCGGCCTCTTAAAGGAACCGGCAGCCTCGGCAGCACTCGTTTCCCCCTTTAGGCAGCCCTCTGCCCCACGTCCTCTGCCAAGGAGACTGCTTCTGTCCCACCCCCAACTTCCCAGGCCCCACATTCCCACGGTGCAAGGGAGACCTCGGCCTGGAAGGGCTGGGGAACCATAGCATCCGGAGGTGCATCCGCCCCCCGCCCCCACTTCAGCCTGGGCAGCCTGGATAGACCCTCCCAGGATAAGGCGGCTCCTGCGCCTGCACGTTCCCCACGCGGCGGACCCAGGCGGGCACCTCGACCGCTCGCCCCCAGGTTCCACCTGGGCACCGCAGAGCCCCGAGTCCTCCGGCCCGCGGAGGTGCCACGCCGATCTGGGGCGGGGTGGTGGGGAGGCGCCGGAGCGAAGACGGTCGGGGAATATGACACCCGCCGCTCAGCCTGCACTGCGGGCTGCAGTCACTCCCCCGCCCGGAATGACCACCTCCCCCTCACTGCACACTCCCGAGCTGAGGTGTAGCCGACCCCAAAGCTGGGGGTCCATTTCACTGAGCCACTTAGGGGGCAACATGGGGGAGGAGCCGGTGTGGAGGGCGGAGCCAACCCGAGGACGCATTCATTCATTCATTCATTCATTCAATCTGTTTTCAGATCTACCACCCTAAGGACAAAGTTCTCCAATCTGGTGTTGCCAGAATCAATTTGCAAACACCTATCATTTTAAAAATGGTAATAATAGCTCCCATTACTGAGTGCTTAGTATATGTCAGGTGCATTACTTAGGTGCTATCCCCATTTTACAGAGGTCACTGAGACCAGGGGAGCAGCAAGCAGTGCCAAAGCTCATGCCCTAACTGTCCTTCCTACTCTACTGGCCTCTTGTCCTTTTCCCCATCTGATCCTGACCACAGAAAGGAGGTGACCCCCACCTCTGAACGCCTGTGAGTTCTGCTGTGTGCACTTAGCCAGATATGTGGCACGTTCCAGATTCTTCCGGACACATTTTTTTGAATTGCAATTTAATATGTCTTGTTATTAAATTGTGTTTGTTTTGTCTCATTGTGTATAAGCTTGAGGGCAGGTACCCTGTTTTACAGGGACAATGGCTTGGTGTTCTCAGGGACAAAAGAGACACAAAGGTGACATGGGCTTGCTCTAGGGTGAGGTCGAGGCTCTGATGTTGGTCTGCGGTTTTTGATTCAGTCACAAGAACAAACCCTCCACATGTTTCCTTCCCTCACCCCAGCTCCTTGCTTCCTGCTATAATAGGCTCACCTTTACAACACTCAGCATGAAACTGGCCTCTCCTGAAACCTTTCTCTGTTTATCCCAACCCAGTGTGGTCACTGCTTTTGACTCTTTGTTCTCTCATCTCTTGGTGATTTTCTTGTTTGTCTAACCTAAAAAGTCAAAACCCCTTTGCCTTAAAGCACGAGTTCATGGACATGCCCAAGGGGCCTGTGGATAGAATTCTGAAGGGTCCGTGACAATGGATGGACAAAAGTTGTATCTTCACTTTTCACCAATCTCTAAATGGTACTTAGCATTTCCTTGGATCACAAATGCAAGCAACAGGTAGAAGTCCCTGTGATTTTGTCACTGATAGAAATCACAGATATTTTCATATCACACTTCAGTTACTATAGATATCTCAAATTATTGTTTAAGCTACCTCAACTCTGAAATTAAGATCATATCAGGCACACCACTAAATCTTAATGTATTAATAAAGGAGCACATGTTGCTATATCACAAAAGTTTTGAAATACTGAGATAATTGCACTTTAGTAAAAATTGTTTTCATTGTGATCTGAATGCAATTTTTAAAAATTCATCTGAGAAGGGGTCCATAGTCTTCACTAGATGCCCAAGGGGCCTATAGGATAGAAGGGGTTAGGAATCCACAGCTGGGGAGTGGTTCCTTGCTGCCTTTTCTAGGAAGAATCTGCTCTGCCAACAGAATTGCCTTGGAGTTGGAGTGTGAAACCCTTGGGTAGAGGGAGGTACCTAGCCCTGTGCTGGGCACTGAAGAATCAGAAATTCCATAATCATTTATTGAGCATCAGCTCTGGCCCAGATCCTGCCTGAATGCTGAGGAAACAATTGTAAGCAAGGCAAGAACTTAAGGAGCTCTGGGGGAGCTAATGGAGACAGACAGCCCAAAAGACCATCCTGAGATGTGGCAGGGGGTTCAGGGAGGGAAACCTGACCTGGAGGAGATGGCTGAGCAGCGACCAGGAGATCTGAAGGAAATGGAGGAAGTCGTACCTGGACTAGAAGGGACTTCCAACTGAATCATAGAAACACAATATGTACAAACAAAATGGATAGAAAATAGTTCTGCGGCCTCATTGGTGCAAAACTGAAATGCTGTGTATCTTGATTTTTGTGAGTAAGATGAGCAGGGAGGTTAACCTAATGTCTTCCAGCTACGTGACCAACTTTCTTGACCATTTGCCCAAGACTGAGGGGTTTCCCTTGATGTGAGGCCTTCAGTGCTCAAACCCAGAAAGTCCCAGGCAAACCAGGACCAGTTAGTCACCCTTCTTCCAGCACATAGCTCTGGAGACTTCTGAGGCCAGAAGTCCTGGTCATCAATGTCAGCCAGACAGAGCTCAGAATGGAGCAAACCCAGTGCTCCCATTTCAGAGGCAGGAAAATTGAGGCCCAGAGAAGGGTAAAAACTAGCCTCAGATTGCCCAAATAATTGGTGGCAAAACCTGGTCTAGAATTCTGGTCCCTAAATGCTCAGTCCAACCCCAAGCAGGACAGTGAAGCCAGTGGTCCCTTTCCTTCAGCCCTGAACACCTTCATCCCTCTCATCCATCACCCAAAGAGACTACAGGTGGGTCCTTACGAGGGCTGGGGATGTCCAACAGATAGGAATATCCCCAGAAGGGATGCTAGCCTCCATTCCCTTAGAAGGGTCACCTCCCTGTGGTCCTCAAAATCAGAGTGGTGTGTCTCTGACACTCTTCTTAGAAGCAGGAGAGAGACTATTTCCAGCGATGGGCTTTTGAGACAAAGTTGGCTTGGGTTTGTTTCTCTGCTCCAGCTGTGTGACCTGGCAAGTCACTTCCCATCTCTGAGCCTCCATTTCCTCATCAGTGAAATGGACTAACTTCACCCACAAGGCCCTTCGTATACCCTCTGCCTCTGTCACGGCCACCTTGCCAGCCCCGTCAAAGTGCTGGGCATGTGGCAGGCTCTAAATAAACAGTGAATGCAGGAAGGAGGAAGGAACAAATGAGGAAGAATGAATGAATGAATGAATGAATGAATGAATGAATGGTCAGTCCCTTTCATTCTCCGCATCTCACGCTCTCACCATTTCGCCTGGTCCTTCCCTTGTCCTTCAGGCCTCAGCCTCATGCACAAAACTTTCTCTGTTCTCCCAGCACCCACCAGGTCTGGACTGGGGTGCATTCTCTGGGCTATGTCAACACCATCCCTACCCGTGACAGCACCAGGCACACTCCCTTGTCATCTCTGGCTTTTTCATCTGCATCTCCAGC